TCCGCCCCTGTCCATTACTGGAATTAGACCCTAGAGGTCTGTGGCTTGATAAACCACAGGGCAAAAGTTGACAGTTTTGGCGGCATTAGTTTGATAGACTATTTACAATCGTTGAAATGAAATTTCTCTAGGCCTATATATAAAAAAACGAAAAGAAAGTGGTGCAGAAAAAAAATAATTGTGCACAATTACTGTACTTTAAACACAGAAAAACGTACGTGTCGTCAGTATTATGAAGTTTTTTGTTTACGACTGCTGTGTAATTTTACTGGTTTACAACATAGTCATGTCATGTATACTTGAATATGTAAATTAAATGAGTATTCCGTATTCTTAACTCTCTGGAAACTCGAAAATAAATCATTGATCGAGGCACGTTTATCTACTACCATACAGCGCATGCGTGACATGCAGTATGCAGAGCAGTGGTTGTAGTTATTGTGATAACTATTCTACGTGTCACTAAGCAGATTTTGAACGAAGAACGAAAGAAAATTTGTTGTTGTCAAACCATGGTGGAGGTATGTCAAACAATGAAGACTATTTTAGTAGATGATAAATGGATAAGTTTGACTTCTAAAACCGCCAACTTTGGTTCTGTGGTTTGACCAGTCAAGTTCAAAACAGTGGCAAATCTGCCAAATTGTGAAAAAATAAAAATGAAGGACATTTTGTGGTGTAACCCAACACCACCCCAGCCTTACCATGGTTTTGGTTAAGGTGGGAGCTTTTTAGGACATGACAGCTTTGGAGGGCAGGTCTTTTCAGGGACGGACCGCGGTGTTGTCTATCTTTACTTTAGCTGCAGTTAGCGAGCTGCTTATTTTTAGCGACAGTAATCAACAAAGTATTTTACAAAAATGGACTTTGTGTTTTAATTTATGGCGACCAATATCAGTTTTAAGCAATTTTAAGAGTTTCAAGTCGGCAGAATTCGGAGACAATTCCTTTATTTTTTGAGCATTTGTTAAATTTATCGACATAGGCAAGGCCTGCTAGGCCGACTTACCCAATCCTTAGACCCTGGGACATCACCCGGGGAAATTCGTGTACGCGAAGTTATGCGTAAAGTCGGTGTGGGTTTCTACCCGGGGAACTATGGTAATATTTTATAGCAGTTAGTGACTGAGAAAGTTTTCAAACAAGTTTTCAACAAAACCAATAAATAAACCTTGAATTTTGAAGAACTTAATTATTTTTAAGTTCTTCAAAATTCAAGGTGTTCCCCTCTTGAAAATTATTATAATGAATCAATGAACCCAGAGAAAGAGAGGTTCAGTTCTTCCCGGGAAAATGTTGATTTCTAAATGGTGGACAATGATATTTCCCGACTTCTGAAGTATTTTTTAATGACTTTAATTTAAAAGACACCTCAGAAGTCGGGAAAGCTCATTTCCCGCCTTCTAGGAATCAAAATTTTCCTGGGGAAGAACCCCCGGACCGTCCTTTCTTTTTGGGATTCATCTCATGGAAAAAATCGTATGCAACTACTCAATTTTTTTTAAATGTATGTATACACACATAACAGGCCTATTTACTGTAATGAGAAAATTTACCTTACCGTTTTCATAAGGGGGAACCCCTTGAATTTTGAAGAACAAAGTCATTAGAAACCTAGCTCAAAAGTCGAGCAATGTCATTTCCCGCCATATAGAAATAAAAAATTTTCCCGGGGGAGGAATGTTGACCCCACCACCTAGATTTGATTCCAGATCTGCATGATTCATATTCCCATTCATCTTATAAGCAGTGGCGTAACAGGCGGGGGGGGGCAGGGGGGCAACCCCTTCTCCACTTCAAAAAGTGTCCATATCGCATTTGATCTAAGCCGCCAGGTATTCTCCGCAGTGGCGTAACCACCGGGGGACAAGGGGAAAATTTCCATCTGTGGAAAATCTTTCCCCATTGAATGCCCTTTTCACCCGGGAAAGTGCCTGAAAATCTCAAATTTTAAATCGCATATTTTGTTGAGGTAGGCCAATTTCCTCTAAAAATTGCACATTTTAGGGAGTTTTGATCAATTCCGACGAAATTAGAATTTTAAAAAAACAAATTTTTTTCGCGGGATTCGCGCATTTTTTAGTGTTAAAGCTTCTGCTTGCTCTCCTTTGCCTTCTAATTTATAACACATAGTCCCAAACTCAAGAAAGAAAATTTAAGAGAGATCATTTTACCTAAAAGAAGGGCCTCAATGTGTAATGATGTTGAAAGAATAGGTTTGTAATAAATAAAGCCATAAGGAAAATGCTTATATTCAGTTTTAAAAAAAACGAGTGTGACCATATATAACATAAGAGCATTTCTTGTTGAGGTAGGCCAATTTCCTCTAAAAATTGCACATTTAGGGAGTTTTGATCAATTCCGACGAAATTTGAATTATAAACACAACAAATTTTCGCGCGCTTCGCGCGCATTTGTTAGGGTTAAAGCTTGTGCTTGCCCTCCTTTGCCTTATTTAAAAACATAATAGTCCCAAACTTGAGGAAGAAAATTTAAGATAGATCGTATTACCTAAAAGAAGGGCCTCAATGTGTAATGATGGTGAAAGAATAGGCCTGATTGTAATAAATAAAACCACATGAAAATGCTTATATTTAGTTTCAAACACACGTGTGTGGCCTATATTAATAATAAAATAAGCCATATGTCGTATTGGTTTCTATATGGGGGGGGGGGAGATAATTACGATTGTATGCATTGAAAATGTGACGACGAACACGGGATAAGGGCTGTCTCTTATACACATCTAGATGTGTATAAGAGACAGGTTGGCAGGTATGTAAGCCTGCTTATAAGTGGGGACGGACCTGTATGGGGGTGTAGGTGTACGTAAAAACATTAGAAACCATTACTGGACTACATATCCCTCTAAACTACGTTTACGTACAAAGGAACGTACACACCCGCAGGGTTCTGGTTTAAATTCATTTTGGGATGCTGTGACTGCAATCTAGAGCAGGGGCCCGTTTAGTTGCATGGAATTATCTTTCGTTGATCATATGATACACATTTGGGACCAAAAAAGAAAGTTTCCCCTTAATAGTGGTGTCCCTTGAAGGGAACACCTCTATCCCTTAATAGTGGTGTCCCCTGAAGGGAACACCTCTATCCCTTAATAGTGGTGTCCCTTGAAGGGAACACCTCTATTCTGGGGAAACTGACCAAAAACGTGAAATTATTCCCTTAATATGGTTTTGGCATGTTTCCTATACAATGATTACATTTATTTATGTATTTATTTATTACATTTATTTATTTATATCGTTATTAATAACTGACCTAAGAATGAGTTACAGTTGAATTGAACTAATTAATAACAAGAATTTGCTATGCAAAAACAATTAAGGATATGAAGCAACAGCAATGTAATTAAAACAAAAAATGTTGTATATGTTCTCAATATTGTGTCATGATTTGAGTACAATAATGACAAAATACTTTTGTTTTTGAAATACACAGCTTTCTATCGGATGCACAAGATAGAATAGCATGAATAGAGTAATATAAATCAGGATGCAGGTTATTTGGAATAGATTCAAATTCTATATGAAACTACATAAAACAAGAATGACCATGGTTTGGTCAAAAATGACAAGATTGTATTTATATTAAGTAGGACATGCACAAAAGGTTTCAAAATGTAAATTTGAATGAATTTTTCATATCTGAGTCTAATGTAAGAAAAAGTGTACCCTTAATATGGCTTAAAATGTATTGATTGGACCAATTGGCACACTCAGAAAGTGTCACCGTCCACTAATAGTTTTTTTTTTTTTTTTTTTTTTTTTTTAGGGGTTTTCCGTAGTGTTAAATATATGTTTCCCCCGTTCCATGAAAAAAGTGTCCCCTCAATAGGGGTATACCCTGAAAAGTGGTGTCCCAAAGGAGGAGTTCTTCTGTAGTTGACATGGGTGTATAAAGGAACAGTAATGTCAAATGTCAAACACTGTGTATTGTTTCCAAATAGGTCCCACTGGAAGTGCACTACTTAGAAGATTTGGTATGAGGAGGTTGGGAAGTGTTGCTGGGTTCGTGTCATTTTGTGTCCTACTCTTCCTCTCCGTTGGTACTAGAAACAAGTGGATGTTTGTTATAGCGGTGTGCTTACAAGGTAACTAGTGAAGGCATAGTTATGAACAATATCTAGATCAATATATGGTAAGACAAAATGGATGCTTATAACATGGTCTCATTTATGGTCTATATTAATCCTGTAGTTCATATAAATGCACTGTATATACTATATCCTGTTTATGTACTGAGAGTGACACATTGATGAACAGGTTGCTATAGAAGGTTTTAAGATTTTGAGAGGAGATAGGACTGTTGATTCCGGAAAAAGTATAGGAGGAGGGGTTTGCGTGTATTTGAACGATCGTTACTGCCATCCAAATAACTCAACTATTAAATCATACAGGTGTACCCCGAATGCTGAGATCATGACTGTCAGTGTAAGACCTTACTATTTGCAAAGAGAATTTTCTCATATTGTGATGGTTATTGTTTATGTGCCACATAAAAACGTTGCTAAAATTGCTGCTAATGAGATTTGTGAAGTGATACAAAATATTGAGATATCATCGCCTAACGCCTTTATATTGATTAATGGTGA